ATCTTAAGGCCAGGCAAGGAATAATGGATGGAAACTGATCAAGGAGAGATTCAACCTGGAAATAAGGAGAAATTTTCTGACAGTGAGAACGATCAACCCATGGAATAGAAGTTGCCTTCGGAAGTTGTGGGAGCTTCATCCCTGGAGGCTTTCAAGAAGAGACTGGATTGCCCTCTGTCAGAAATGGTGTAGGGTTTCCTGCTTGGGCAGGGGGTTGGACTAGATGGCCTACAAGGTCCCTTCCGACTTGGTTCCTTTGCCATTGAACGGGAAAGGAGCAAAACGTAAGGCACACAGGTGTAAACAAGGCACCAGCGGTTCTCTTTAGATGCACCAGACCATAGGCATTCCTTCACTGGCGCTGAGCACACCACAAAGGGATCATTCTTCCGAGCCGCGCTTGAGTGTTTTCCTTCTCCAATTAGAGAATGGAGTGTGTGTGTGTGTGTGTGTGTGTGTGTGTGTGTGTTGAGGGGGGGAGGGAAATTACTGCTTATGCTGCAGCGGGCAGAAAATGTGCAGACAAAGACGTTCGTTTCGCTGCAGACCGCACCCACTTTCTCCAATGCGCACGAGGCTAAATTTATAATCAATCTCATTTATTGCTCCTGACGCAGCAGCGGCTTAATTAATACGAGGGCCAGCGATTTGCAGCGGCAGTTCGGGTTGGGCACTCCCAACTTCCTTGGTCGACATATTAGGAGATAATTAAAATGGCCCCGGGATTGATTAATTGATTATCTATTTGTTTAGCGCAGCACCCCCTGGGCGGCTTGAAATTGGCTTTGGAGAGAACCAGGGAAGGGGAGGAAAAGCGGTTGGGGAGGAGCAGCTTCTCCCTTCCCAACCCGTCCTCTTGCTTTTAACTCCCAAGGTGTAAATCAGTTATACGTGGGGGGGAAATGGTTTGGACGGAGGGGGAATGTAGGGCAGGCGTGGTCGTCGCGGCTAGAAATCCGCAGGGTTTTGTTAACCAAGATCTCTCCGTTCTCCTCTTCACTTAACGAACTGCCCCCTGCCCCCCAAAAAACCCAAGATTGTAACCATCATGCTTGACTCATTGAACGACTGTCCTGCTTAGCGATGTGATTTCTGGTCCTGATTGCAAGACAAGGGACTTACCCCTACCTCTACTATAAACTTGGAGGAGATCCGTAACTTGTTTCAGACTTCATAAATGTTGCACGTTCTTCGTTAGTTATGGGTGACTGATTGCCTTGTCGTTTATTCTTCTGTCGTTTATTCTTCTGTCGTTTATTCTTCTGTCTAGGAGACAGTGACAATGATTACAATAACGGTAAGTGTGACATCTCAGCTTCGTGACATCTCAGCTTCTTTTCAAAACCACGGATTTCCCTTGAGCCCCGGCCTTTTGAGATGCCCCTTTAAAACTCCTTTCTCAGTCTTTCCTGGGCACCAAGCTGCGGAGAAGGGTTAGGTGGCTTTTAGCAGAATCTGACCTGACCTGTTATGAGAATGTTGGGGATTCACCTCGAAGCTCAGGAACCATAGTTTTTACACCCTTGTTTTTTAAATCTATATATATATATAAAAGTGAAATGCCACTCAGGCATCGTTACAAAATCTCCAGAACTGTAAAGCTTACGAACTTGAAATTTGGCACGTAGGTTCCTCTTGGCTTCTAGATGCTCACCAAGAAAGGATTTTTCAAAATGACCACCAGAACATTGAGAGTATTTCCTATATTATTATTATTATTAACACGCTCTGATGCTAAGGAGTTCTACCCAGGTGTTCTACCTTCTACTTCTAAGGAGTTCTACCCTGAAAAAAATGCACCTTTGGGACAACCTGGATGACGGAGAATCTCTACAGACTTTTAGCTCTGCAATTTGGGATGGACACCCTTGGAATGGGAGTGTGGGAGTAGGAATTACAGGAACCATTAGCACCACTCTGGTTACTTTAAGGACACAGATAAGACCTGGTTCAGCCGTTTTTGTTCTATAGCCCAGTCTACACCCGGTGTAGACTGGGCTATAGGGTTCCATCAAGTGTAATCCCAAAGGTGCTTTTTCCAAGAGGCAACTGGACTTTCTGGTTTTTCTTTGAAGACGTTTCGCTTCTCATCCAAGAAGCTTCTTCAGCTCTGACTGGAAGGTGGGGAATAGAAGGATTGATGCTCCTTGCGGATAGCTGGTCATTTGCGTTCTTTTAGCCAATCATTTTGGCCACTTGGAGGTTTATTTGTGTCCTCAGAATCACCTGAGTTGTGCAAATGGTTGTAGAGCCTTCTTGGAACTGCTGAAAAGATTGTATTGTAGACTGGAGATAGATGATGTCGTCTTCCTCCCCTTCATCCTTTGAGAAAAGGCTGTTCGATTTGGACCTCGATGGCTTATTTGACAGATAAACCTCCAAGTGGCCTCAACGACCCTCTAAAAGGACACAAATGACCAGCTGTCCGCAAGGAAGATCCATCCTTCCATTCCTCACCCTCCAGTCAGAGCTGAAGAAGCTTCGTGGATGAGAAGCGAAACGTCTTCGAAAGAAACAAACGAGAAAGTCCATTTGCCTCCTGAAAAAAAGCAGCATCTCAGGAACAACCCTGACCTGGAGGATGGAGAATCTCTGCAGGTGTTCAGGCTGGGGAAGGTTGCAGAAGTCAGTCTATTCCCCTAAGTCAGGGTAGAATCCACAGCCATGGCCCGGTGGAACAAAGGTGTGGGCAGGAACGGAGAAAAGAAATGAACGGGGACTTTTTATAAACATCTAGGATGTAGGTCACCATCGGTAAATGGTCTTTGCTCTTCCACTTCTACAGGTGCCCTGGTGGAAACCGGGACAATTGCTGGCATTGTCAGTGGCCTCGCCATGGCCTTGATTGGGGCTGTCAGCAGCTACATTTCCTACCAGCAAAAGAAATTCTGCTTTAGCATACAACGTAAGTGTCTCTGTTGAGGTAATTCCCCGTTAGGAGAATGAGCGCATACAGGGAGACGTATTTGAGAGAAGTGTTTGAATAATACACACACAGTACACAGATACACTGTACAGTAAATGTGGGTTTTTACTTCCAGAAAGGTTTAAGCAAAGTCCCAAATAAGCAATCCAAAGTCATTCACCAGTAAATCAGTCAGTTTTTCAATCCAGGGATAAATATCAAAGTCCAGTGTCAAAAACAGTTCAGTATCAGACTTACATTAAATCCAGGAATATCAGTCAATTAGGAAAAATGGAGCAATGGCAATACTTTCCAACAGAAGGAAACAGAGATACACTCACGCTCTCTTCTGAGACTCAGACTAAACAACCCAGGTTTCTGGCTCCATCTTATGGCCGTTTGAAAAACCACACCCAATTGCAGTTTTTGCAATCTCTTAAAGACATAGTACTAAAATGTTTATCCTGGCTTATATATTTCTAACGCAAATACCTGTTAGGTGACTTATATTCCTAACAGTCTCCAACTCCCACGCCTACCCCCCTTGCAGGAGATCTGAGCCCACCAGGACCCTCCAGGAAAGCAGACCAAGATAGGGCTTCAGTGAAGGAGACTATTTCGTAGCTCAGGGTCGAAATGATGGGTCCTTGGAGCTGGGTGGTTTTCTTGCAGGCGTTTCATTACCAAACTAGGTAACATCATTAGTGATGGAAGGGAGTGAGGTTGGAGGAGGAAGAGGAGGAGAATTATAGGGTCCTTGGTATTCTCTGAGCTTAATTGTTTTCTTGCAGACATTTCATTACCAAACTAGGTAACATCATCAGTTCTGGATAGGCTTCCCAACCTATTTTCAGTTGGCAAGTTATTGAATTCCTGAAGGGCCCACAGTAGGTCCTCCTTCGGTTGCCTTTCCGGTTGGCAAAGCTAGAAAAGGGCCTGATGAGGACCAGGAGTGGGATAAGGTTTGTTTGGCCTGGTTCATTCCATCCCTCCATTAGTCCAGTCAAAGCTGGAAAAGATTCGTTCTTCAGAATTGGTTCTTTCACCCTTGCTGAAATTTACCCGGGTATGAAAGGGAGAGAAGGGACGCGGTGGCTCAATGGCTAAGACGCTGAGCTTGTCGATCAGAAATGTCGGCAATTCGGCAGTTCGAATCCCTAGTGCCGCGGAACGGAGTGAGCTCCTGTTCCTTGTCCCAGCTTCTGCCAACCTAGCAGTTCGAAAGCTTGTAAAAAATGCAAGTAGAAAAATAGGTACCACTTTGGTGAGAAGGGAACAGCATTCCATGCGCCTTCGAAGGCGTTTAGTCATGCCGGCCACATGACCACGGAGACGTCTTCGGACAGCGCTAGCTCTTCAGCTTTGTAATGGAGATGAGCACCGTTCCCTAGAGCCGGAAACGACTAGCATGTATGTGCGAGGGGAACCTTTACCTTTAAAAGTGAGAAAAGCACTATTTCGTGGAGGAGCCAACCTTCGGATGGTTGCAGGAAGAGAAATGATTCCCATTTCCTGCCGCTTTCCATTTTTTTTTAGCAAAGTATCACAAAGAGGAGTGAGCTGGAGTTGGTTGAACGAGCAGAATAAGTCCAGAGAAACATGATGGATTTATTTATCCATTCATTTATCTAACCCCTGCGGTGTTGTTTCGGTGCTCTGTTGGTTATCAGCTGCCATGTTGGGGGGAGAAAACGAGTGTTGTTATTGCTTGCAAAACGGAAAGATTTGTTTTCTTTTTTTTAATGGACCCAAAGTCACAGAATCGGAAGGGAGATAATCTATCTATCTATCTATCTATCTATCTATCTATCTATCTATCTATCTATCTATCATCTATCTATCTATCTATCTATCTATCTATCTATCTATCATCTATCTATCTATCTATCATCTATCTATCTATCTATCTATTATCTATCTATCTATCTATCTATCTATCTATCTATCTATCTATCTATCTATCATCTATCTATCTATCTATCTATCATCAATACGAGGGAATTAAACATAGGGGTAGATCTTCGTACAGGTGCATGTGTTGTCTCTGTGCATGTTAGAAATGCAGAAGAAACATTCTTAGGTCTAGAAAAGCGTTTTGATAAAGGCGGCAACGCAGATGCCCCACAAAAAGGCAACAGGAAATTAAAGTTAATTATAACGGAGGATTAATTTCAGCCATCAGATGAGGCATGCTGGGATAATGTCAGACTTTGGATGCATGGCAGTGCGCGCAGCAGCTCCTGAAGGGGCTCTTTTTAAAAAAAAAAAATGGAAAAGGCATGAAACAAGCCTCTCGGCTGGATTCGCACGTGGCATTTTGGATGCCCCCGTTTTGAATGGCAGAAGCAAATGATGGATGAGATTTAATCACCCTCCTGTCTCCAGATTTCAGCTCACAGCTTCTCCCAAGGGTGATCTAAAGTCCGATCTAACTCATTGGATCTGTTTGAAATGGCGGGGGAGCAGGAATGCAAAGATTTAAAAGGAAGAAAGAGGGAGGGAGTTGGTGCTAGAAGTTGTTTAGGTGAGGTACAGAGTGCAGAGAAGGATGATGAGGGGACTGGAGGCTAAAACATATGAAGAACAGTTGCAGGAACTGGGCATGGCTAGTCTGTCTGTCTACCATCTCTGTCTGTCTGCCTGCCTGCCTGCCTGCCTGTCTCTCTCTCTCTCTCTCTCTCTCTCTCTCTCTCTCTCATCTATCTATCTATCTATCTATCTATCTATCTATCTATCTATCTATCTATCTATCTATCTATCAATCATCTATCTATCTATCTATCTATCTATCTATCTATCTATCTATCTATCTATCCTATCTATCATCTATCTTTCTATCTATCTATCTATCTATCTACCTACCTACCTACCTACCTACCTACCTACCATGTCTGTCTGTCTGTGTCTATCCTTAATAAGGCCATACCTAGAGTACTGCATGCAGTTTTGGTTATTACACTATAAAAAGATGTTGAGACTCTAGAAAAAGTGCAGAGAAGAGCAACCAGGATGATGAGGGGACTGGAGGCTCAAACATACGATGAACGGTTGCAGGAACTGGGCCTGGCTAGTCTAGGGAAGAGAAGGACCAGGGGAGACAGGAGAGCAGCCTTCCCATGTTTGAGGGCTGCCAAGGAGAGGAGAGGGTCAAGCTATTTTCCAAAGCCCCTGAAGGCCAGACAAGGAATAATGGATGGACTAGAAGACCTCCAAGGTCCCTGCCAACTGTGTTCTAACGTGCTGTAGGGGTTGGACTAGATGACCTACAAGGTTCCTTCCAACTCTGATTATCTGTTATCTGAGGTTGGGACGAGGCTGTTGACTCCTGTAGGCCATGTTGAGCATCATGATTCACCCACATCTGGAGTCCCTCACCTGTTTCGGAGTTCAAGTTGGAGGTTTAAAAATGCAAATAACGTCAGAGAAGGAGAAGCGGAGCACAAAAAAATGCTCTTTAAAATCCGAACCTCTTTATCTAGTTTGCCTCTGAGTCAACAGTATCACATTTCTCTCTCCCCGTGAGATGCTCCAAGGGCTGTCATGAGGACACAAATAAAAGAGATTTTGTGATCTTATAAATCAGGGTGGGTTTTCAGAATTGTTTCGGTGATGTCTTGGCCTTGTCTCCGTTTTTTCTGCGTTGAAGCTTCGGTCGTCTCGCAACCTCTGTGCCACTTTTAATGTTGGGTGTCAAATCTCTCCTGCTCTCTGCTATTTTTAGAGGGCCTGAATGCCGAGTATGTGAAAGGAGAAAACATGGAAGCAGTGGTGACCGAAGAGCCACAAGGTGAGTGGGTGTGTTGTGTCCTTAAGGGCACAGTGTGTCACAACGCACTGTGTCCCAGCTTTGTGGTGATAGCTCGGGAGGGGGCATGGTTTTTGAAAGGCTGCAGAACCGTAACCTGTGTACTACCACGAGTTGGTAGTAGTGTTCCAGGATTTGAAAGGCGGCCACAAAGGGTTGGAGTAGAAGGCCTCTAAAGTTACTTCCAGTTCTATTCTGATTGATTGATGAACATGGTGTCAGCATTCCAGAAAACCTCCACTCCAACAAATAACTCCGAGGCAGACCATCTTCACAAAAGTTCTGTTTTATTTGGATAGTAAACTGGCACATCTGGGGAATCCCGAATCTGAAAGTTCCAGGTTTCCTTGCAATAAGTAAAAAATTACAAATCCACCCCCTGCACTCATCATTGCATCACATGACCCAATCACATCCAACCCAACTTGAGACTTCCGCAAACCCAGGTGCAGAAATAACATGACCTTGACTTAGAAAAAGAATGCTATTATGTCTAACCACATACACTCCAAGAAAGTCCCCCCCTCCCATTTTCCCAGGCTTAAGAAGGTGGAAGTGTCTGGTGTCAATATGGCTTCCAAAGCTGACACATGGCCTTCTACAGTTGCTGTGATGACCCAAAGGGGAATGGCACAAAGGCAAAGTCAGATAAGCAATAAGAGTCCCTTTATTATCTCCAACTTTGCCCCCAATGTCCAGGTTACCTTCGGGCTGGAGAAAAACTCTCCCAGGAACAGCCTTTGACTGTAGAAAATTCAGCCCAAAACAAGGTACACACAAACTGTAACTTGAAAATCCAAACAAATCAAACTGAAGTAATTAGCTTGACAGGGCAGGAGAAAAAATTTCAGACTTGAAAGCACGGCAAAACTCACATAGTTGGGAAGATGCCAGGAACACAGATAAGCCACAACAATACAAGATAAATTCATGTTTGCTTCCAACAGCTTGCTGCATGCAGCTTGCCTTTTTTTTATACACTGTGTTCCCAGCTGCAGCTAATGAAGGGAATCAGGGCCCTTTCATCCCCGTAAGCCATGCAACCCATGTTGCTCTCTTCTCTGTCCCTCCCTGCGTGCCCTAGGATGAAGAGGGGGCGGGCCTGAGTCTTCCTCTGAACTCCCTCTCCCTTGCTCTACCTCTCCCCTGCTCTGCCCAGCCAGACTTTGCCCTTCCCCAGTTTCCTCCACAGCCAATGGAGCCACATTCCCACTCCCTCTCAGCTGTTGGTCTTCCTCCTCCGAGTCAGATTCCGACAGGGGCATGACAGTTGCAGGCCAGTTTGTATGTTTCTTATTTTCCTACAAGACCAAGCTAAAAAAAATTCTCTCTTTTTTTCTTCCCTAGTGAAATACTCTGTCCTAGAACCACAGACAGCAGAAGCTCCACCGCCTCAAGAAAACGCAAAAGTCTGAAATCTCAGCCCTCCGGCTTAAAAAAGAGAAAGAAAGAGAACCAATTGTTGGCAAATAAAACAAACAACAAAACACATCGCACACACACACACACACACACACGAGCGCACACACGCACACATACATCCATGCACACACTCCTCTCACACGATTTGTAATTTAGCTTTTAACAAAAAAAAACGTTTAATTTGGGATTCCAAAGCTATTTAAATGTGCATTCCCCCGACTAGGGCAGGGTTCTTATTGTGGTAGGCTTGTAGACTGGTTGAAAAAAAAAAAAAGAAATGATGATGATGATAATGTTTTTTCGGGTTTGATTTTGTTTTTCATTTTTTTTTTAATATATCGTTTTTGTGAAAGAGTCGTAGGTTTGCATCGCCATGGGTCGTGTCCGAGCTTTGGGCAGGTTGAATATGAAATGCAAAGGTTCTTCCAAGGGGTTGTTTCCATCGTAGACGTTAAGAGATGTTCATGAACGTCATTTTGATGGGTTGGGTTTGGGGAGAGAAAGAGACGGCACCGAAGAGCAGGAGTAAGAGACCAGTCGGAGTTGCTTGTAGGTGACCAACCCAAAATAGAAAGATTCAGCCAAGATTTCAGCTCTTGGTTACAGGTAGAGTTTCCATTGAGGTCCTGGTTGAGCTCCTTAGGGAGATGGGCTTCAAAAGAGAACGAGACCGATGGCGACAGTCTTTAATCGGTGGGGCGTGAGAAGAGACGGTGGCCCCACAGAACTGGGCTTCATTTCAGCTAGGAACAATCTTCAATTGTTGGTTTGCTTTTGAGTAGGACCTGTGTGAAGACACGGCACGAAGGAACTGAGCCTCACTTCTTAGGCTGCTGCGGTGACCACTGAAAATGGCTTTTCCCTCCATCTGGTCCGTTTGGACAGAATTCGCGGGGGCTTCTGGCTTCATGGTGGTTTGCAGAGGGGTCTCCAAAGCTTGAATTTGAAGAGAACATCTCGAGGGAGGAGGATGGACCCAATTGATTCAGCTGCAGACCAACCTTGCCGTCTAGTGCAGTCTGAAGGGGGTGAGACATCCAGGTCAGCACAGACCGAATGGGCTAAAATCCAGAAAAGGGAGAAGGTTTTGGTTCGGGAAAGGCCAGCGATGGTTATTGGGAAATGTTGCACCTTCAGGTTTTTGAGGCCTGCTGGTTCACACGTTCTCCAGCAGGCAACATTTCCGTGCTGGTATTTTAGCGGGGCCGGTCATCATATCCCACAGGTGCATACTTTGGGCCTTGGGGTTCCCCAAGGTCTCAGTTTTTGAGTTCAGCTGGATTGTGGGCCACTGTGTTTATTTGGTTGTGTCCAACTTTTGAAGGTCCATTTCAAGGAGAGGAGAAGATGCTGGCCGTTTGAGCTCTTGGCCTGGAGGGAGCCCAAGGTTTAGAGCGGAAGTCTCCAAACTTGGCAACTTTAAGACGTGTGGACTTCAACTCCCAGAATTCTCCAGCCAGCATAGATGACTGGAGAATTCTGGGAGTTGAAGTCGACAAGTCTTAAAGTTGCCAAGTTTGGGGACCCCTGGTTTAGAACCTCCTTCCGTTTGTGTCTCTTGGCCCATCAGAAATCCTCCAGGTCCTTCTCTTAGGAAAGCCCTGAGAAGAAGACCACATGGAGCTGAGCCAAGATGGGTTCTCCTGGGTGGGATTTGTCCTGTTGGCCAACACCTGTACCCAACAAGTAGCACAAGGTTTCTTTGTCATCTCTGGGGAGGTGAAACTTATCCCTGAGGGTAGGGTGAGACAGCCGTTGCCACCAGTCCTCCATCTTGTTTGTATCAAACCAGCTTAGCTGCTCTTCCCGCTGTGCCTATACAGTCACTGGTTGGGCTTAAATTTCCTTGCCTTAACTAGAAACCACGAGGGGAGTCTTAGAAAGAGTAGTAAGATGCCTGCTACTACTGTTCAGGCTCTCCTTTCAGTTGGCTCATGAAGGGGAAGACTACTCGTTGCTCTACACCAGGGATGTCTAACCTCGGCCGCTTCTAAGACTTGTGGACTTCAACTCCCAGAATTCCCCAGCAGCCAGCCTGTCTTGGTTGGATTCTACACCACTCTACACAGTGGTGCAAATGGGGATTCCTGGAAGAGGGCCAAATGGCTGCCTGTTGTCACTCTTTCCCAGATCAAACCTCAATCCCTGGTTTGTCTTAAATTTAGCTGGATCCCAGTTGTTATTTTTTATATTCCACGGGGGTGCCAGAGGTCGTGAAGCCAGGGGACTTTTCTGGCCTTATTTTGGGAGAATTTTGATCAACAACTACTATCGGTGTTAGCCCAGAGGGACAGTCACAGCCCTACCCCCTGCGGAGCTGAGCAAGAAATGGGCTTGAATGTTGGCCCACGTTGGTCATTCTCAACCTAAGTCCTGTTAGCCGTGCATTTCACCCATTGTAGCAAGGTGTACATTTTCACATGCAAGATTAGGATATTTTGTTTTTGTTTTTTTAAAAAAATCTCTCTTTAGTGCATGTATCGGTCCATGATATGTATTACACGGTGTTGGGGGGAGGGGAAAAATTGCGGGCAAGTTACCTAATTTCAGATTTCATTTACCAACTAATCCTAGGTGATGTTTGTAGGGGGGACTTTTCTGGTAGGGATTCGGTGTGGGGATCATCGGAGGCCAAGGTGGTCTACACAGTGTGATCAAAAAAAAGCCCAGGTGATACGGTACTTAAAAGAATGGACATAACTTCAAATGGGCTATCGTGGCTGCCAGATTTACATTTTTTTGACCACATTTTGTGGATCTGCCGCAAAGACTTCGTTGATTGAGGCATGTTGAACCTTCTGTAGATGTTGCTGTGTGTGGAGGAAATTTCTGGATGGACCTATCAATGTCAGGAGCACTACCGGCTGTATCTATAGGGGCTGTGATGGTGAACCTATGGCACACACAATCACCAGCTGCTTTTCTGGTTTCTGGCATGCACATGTGTGCTGGCCAGCTGGTCTTCAGGGCGTGGAGCACTGGAAAATGGCCTGAAAAACATCCATTTTGGGGCTCTTTTCAGGCCAGTTTTCAAGCCAGTTTTCAGGCTGTTTTGGGGGCCAAAAACAGCCCCCAAAACGGCCTGAAATGTCCCGGAAAACAGCCCTGAAATGGCCCCAAAACAGCATGAAAGCCCAAAAATGGCCTGGAGAACAGCCTGAAAATGCCCCTCAAAACATCCTGAGAACATCCTGAAAATGGCCCCAAAATGGCCTGAAAACAGCCTGAAAAAACTGCCCCCAAAATGGCCTGAAAGTGGCCGAGAAAACAGCCCCAAAACTGCCTGAAAGTGACCCCAAAATGGCCTGAAAAACGGCCAAAACCAGCCAAAAAACAGGGTTTTGGGTTCTCCGGCTCACGCACATTAATACACATGCATGCACATTCCAGTTTGGGCACTCAGTGCTGAAAAGGTTCGCCATCACTGCTATAGGTGTTTAAGGAAATGTTACCCTGAGATTTCCATCTTTCATCCATGATGGAGGTGACTCCTGCGGATTTCAGCGGAGCGTCAGTATGAGGTGGTTATGCTAGTCCAGATGTTGGTGGGAATTCCTTCTGCTTTGGTTGAGCTTCATAATTTGCGGTCCACAAGCATGATAAGGCCTTCCAATGAAATGTGTATATTTTGGGATGTACTAAATTCTCTTACCCCAGTCTCATCGTCTAAGTTTATCATTTTGAAGACTTAAAATTGGCACTTGGAAGGCCAACCTGGGGGAATCATGGAGGACTTCAGCTTATTTAAGGAAGCCGCTGAGCTGACTTCTCTTTGGTGGGATTCTCCCATGAAGGACTTGCAGTTCAACCAAGAGCTACTTAGGAAAATAACGTTGAAGGTTTCCCATTTTTTGAGGTGGCCTTCAAGTATTGGAGAAGAAGGTCTGGTCTTGGCATTTCTGTTTTGAATTAAATTTTGTAGAGTAGAGAAGGTGACCTCAACCACACAGAGGAATCTACATCACAGCCTCTTTCCAACTACTGTCTCTCTTTTTAAAGAAAGATAAGTCAAATACATCAAACATTAGACTAGGGTTATCGTGATGCATCTTTAGATAAAATAGTGGGGAAATGGTGGCTGTACTTGGACTAGAAATCATTTTCTTCCTCACCTAGATGGAAATTTCTTTCCTTTCCTTTCCTTTTCTTTTGGCCAATTACGGAGAAACGTTTACTGTAGGTGTAAAATTGTCTGTTTCGTTGTCTTTCTATTACTGTCCTGCCACTGATCTACATCTTGAAATACTGTGTCTTGGAACAGGTTTTGTTACCCAGATCGATGTTTAAAAAATGTGATGTATTGCAGATTCTATGAACAAAATAATAATAATAAAATTGTCCCGAGTGTTATGTTAAGAGGAAAAGAAAAAAAAAAAGCTACCAGGTTTTCAAGATGTGGCAGTTGATGAATCTGTGAGGTACTTCCTTTCCCCAAAGTCTTTTTGTATGAATTTGGTAAATGGTTATGCCTTAATGTAAATTTTAGGTAGTCCAGCAGAAGGGAGGTATTTGTAGAATACAACTCAACGTCAGGTACCAAGAGCAACAATGACTGTTATTGCCTCCCCAGACCACGACCAACAGCGTAGTCTTCCCCAGAAGTCAAGACTTCAGTTCTTGCACCCCGGTTTAGTTCTTTCCCTGAACAACAATGGCCCAGGTATGTTCTCCATGGGGTTCCTGTCTCCAGGCCACCAAGGCGTAGGATGAAGGCTGGCTGGGCAAGACCCTACCACGTTGCCTTTGAGACCTTCAGAAATCCTACTATGGAGCAGGAGAGGTCTACCAACTGGATCTAGGCCAACTCAACGCGGGACAATTCAATGCTGTATTAATCGTTTCATTCGATTGCTATTTATCACGGGTGACCCTGTTTTCGTTGAAATTATTGTAACTCTTGTCCCAAATGTGTTTTTTTTCCCCCCAAAGGCAACTGGACTTTGGTTTGTTTTTTTAAAATTTCCTTGAAGATGTCCATGGAGATTTCCAGTCCTCCAAGTCACGGTTGTCCCAAAGGTTATTTTATTATTTTTTTCAAGAGGCAACTGGACTTTCTGGTTGTTTTTTGA